CGCCTGCCCGCCCCTCCCCGTGCAGCCGCGCCCGTGGGCCTCGCCCGCTCCCCACACCCAGTTCCTGGGCCAGGCTGCCACGCCCCTTGCAGCGAGGAACCGCGACCCCGTCGCTGCTGCCTTGGCCGCTGTCACCACCTCCTACCTGCCCCTCAGCTGTGGGGCGCCCCTGCTTGAGATCCTACGGCCCATCTTAGAATAAGATCCAGGCCCGTGGGCCCCTGCTTGCCTGTCCTGGCCCTTGGGCGTCAGCGCAGGCCGCACCCGCTCCTCCGTCCAGGGCCCCTGATACGGGCTCCACGTCTGGGCGGTGGGAACGCTTGCCAGCCTCCACTTGGGCAAGGCCTCTTCCTGCAGGGAAGCAGGCCAGGTCGGGATGAGCTCTGTGTCTGAAGGGCTGAAAGACCAGAGCGGACCAGCTTGGGGAGGCTCCCCTACGGGTGCAGACGCTGGAGTAGACTAACCCCAGCTTTCCCGAAGGAAGCCTGAGCGGTAGGTAGTGAGCATGCTGCCATGGAGCTGATAGTCTGCTCAGAAAGCCAGCGCAGCACTTCACTGAGGTTGGAAGATGCCTTCCAAGACTCTGCCCAATGCCCGAGGCCAGAGAGGACCAAAGTCTTTTAGGCAGAAAAATGTAATTTTTTAAAAAGTTCTTTCTTCCATAAGCCAGAGAGACAGCACACCCAACCGAGTCTCTGCCGCCGTCTGCCCCCAGTTCCAGCCAGCCCTGACTACAGCACACACTTGGTGGACATGCCCAGGAAGTCTGGCTGTGTACCTGAAGCCTTCTCATCCAACCAGCCTCACAGAGCATTGCGTTTTACTGCTGCCAGCATCACACCCCGCTTTTTCTTTTTGTTAGAATGTGTGCAGACAGAGAGAGGAAGAGGCGAGAGCGCCCCCCTGTAGGGAATGGTCGCACCGCAATCCCTTCTCTCCCACCTCTCCTTTCAGGATTTGGGGCACACATGTACATGTGCCTAGCATGTCATTCTAGCTAGGTCTGGGACTCAAACTCTGTGTGGTCATGTGGAATCTGGTTGCCTTAGCCACCTGGCCATGGAACTGTTCCTCTCCCACCTTTATGTTTATTTTTTTTTCCTTTTGTGTGAGAGACAGGTAGCCCTCTCGGTGTTACCATGCCCTGATCCTTCCTCTAGCCTCCCAGCCAGCCAGGATCACAGATGCACCCAGTGCAGTAACGTTGACCCAAGATCCAAACACGGTTCTCCCATCTAGCTCCACTATTCCGTAGTTGCACCCTCTGCTGGTGCCACCACACCTGGGCTCAAAACAGTGTAACTTGGAGTGAAGACTCATGGCTCCTGGACCGTGACCAGTACTCTGTGCAGACTGGTCCCATTGACACCACGGGGTAGGCGAAGTGGCAATGTGCAGCTGGAGGGTAGTCTGTATCAAGTGCACTTGATGAGGGGTCTGAGTACTGAGAGGTGAGGTGATCTGCCCAGGGCCTTGTTCTTACTTTAATACCATTGCCTAGATCCTTCCCCCATGAAATCACAAGAGTGGTTGAAGAGGTTCTTCTATTTCATTAAGGCATTTTCATATATAGCTCCCTAAAACTTACCACTCAGAACGTTCATTCTGCTGCAGAGGAAGCACTGAAAAGCTGTGTGCTGAGCACCAGGGTACAGCTAGTGGACTATTGGGATCACAAGACCTCTGAAGTGCACCATGGCAGTGGGCTGACCTCCAGCCTGAGTGTGTGTGTACTCCCAGCAACGAGCTGTCAGGTGGCTCGGCTGCAAGGCCATCATCCGGTTTGCCTCTCACCTTTCTCCCTGTCCTGGGAGTTATGGGGAAGATGGAGACTCAGGAAGCACCTGCCCTGCGCTCACTCACTGCTTGGCCTGACTGGTCACTGGAGAGCAGCAGGCCTGCGCATGATGCCAAGAAGCAGGAGGGAGACTCAGGCTGTCTTCCAGGAGACCCCAGGGGATGGATGCAGCTCCTAGGAAGGGATGGGCTTGGCCAAGTAGCTCCTGGAGGATGAGAATGAGACAGCTGGACAGAGGAGGGGGGCCTATTTCAGGTTACCCTTCCCCGCAAAAGCCAACGTAGCAAAGGCAGGAGGCTGTCTCTTCATTCATCCACTCAATAAATCAAGTATTGGGCAGCTGTTACTAGCTAAGCCCTGTGGTGCTGGTGCCAGCATGTGGGACATGGAAGTGAAGAGAAGATAAGGCTCAGGGCCAGCAGGTGGCATTGTGGTTAAGGTGCTGGACTCGCACATGGCTGACCGCAGTTTGAGTCCCAGATCCAGAGGCTTGAAACTCATGCTGGGCATGTATGTGTACATGAAAATCCCGAGAGAATGGGACTAGCAGATAGCATAATGCTTACGTCACTGTACTGCCACATAGTAGACTGTGGTTCAAGTCCCAGACCTGGTGGCATAAAACTCATGCCAGGCATGCGAGCATGCGTGCCCAAAATCCCAAGAGGAGAATGGAGAAGGGACTCCAGCATGACCATCCCCCCTGGGGGGGTGATTTCTTGCTTTCTGTCTCCCTGTCTCCCTGGTAAGTGTACTTCCCTTATAACAAAAATCTCTCTTAAAAAAAAGAAAAGAAAAAAGAAGATAGGGCTCTTGCTTTCCAGTGTCTCACACTTGGTGCTGGAGTCAGTGAGGCTCAGGACCTGCAGTGCTTACAGGGACCCCCGCCACTCATCTGATCCCCTCTGTGTGCTTGGGGCAGGTAGACCCTAAAGCCTGCACAGCCCTAGAGGAGAGGGGCAGGCCAGCGGAGAATGGCTTGGTTCTGCCATCTCAGCTCTTGAAAAGTCACTTCTCAATGCACCAGCTTACTTGAGAGGCGTGTGGGGTGACCTGCCACTGGAACGGTGGCACAGCAGCACCCACCCCACCCACACCACCTTGCCCAGTCAGGACCGTTCACGACTTTAGAAGTATTCACTGAGAACCCCAGAGACCCTTTTCTTAACAGTAGTTCTCTTAATGTTTACTCTGCTAGAAATTGGAACAGGAAATGGAAAGGCATTTGCTAGCTCATTTAAGAAAGCAGTAAATGCTCTACATTTATGCAAATAATATTTTTATTTTGAAACATCCATGCACGCACACACACACACACACATACACACATATATATATATATATATATTTGTGGTTTTTTTTTTTTTAAGAGGTTTTTGCCTCAGAAACCAGCAGTTAGCGCAATGGCTATGTCTCTGGACTCCCACGTAGTTGACCGCGGTTCGCGTCCCGGACCCGGTGGCTTAAAACTCACGCCAGGCGCGGGTGCGTGCGTGCCCAAGATCCCGAGAGGAGAATGGAGGAGAAGGGATTGCGGCATGACCATCCCCCCTGGGGGGAGATTTCTCACTTTCTGTCTCTACCTCTCTCTCTGTCTGTCTGGCGAGCACACACGCCCTATAGCGGGGGGTGGGGGGGAACCTCTCCAAAAAAAAGAGTTTTTTGCCTTAGGGTACATGCACTTGCTGGAGAGACAGACAGTGAGAGAGAAAATGAGAACTCACCCCCCACGAAGGATGGCCACACTACAATCCCTTCTCCTCCATTCTCCTCCCGGGATCTTGGGCATGCACGTACACATGCCTGGCATGATTTTGAAGCCACTGGGCCCAGGACTCGAGCCGCGGTCAGCCATGTGGAATCTAGCAATATAACTGCTAGGCCATTTGTTGGCCCCAGCAACCATATTTTTTAAAAGAAAACTTAAAAGAGAGGCATTGTTTGACACTTTTACAAACCTTGCATTCTGGCTGAAGAAAAGAGCAGGGGAACCAGCAGTTAGCGCAATGGCTATGTCTCTGGACTCCCACGTAGTTGACCGCGGTTCGCGTCCCGGACCCGTGACTTTTCTGGAGATCTAATATTTTCAGAGAACGATAAGCAGTTTCAGAGAATGATAAGCCCTTTCGTAACCTGCTATTTGTCATATGATTGCATTCCCTCCATTACCAAAGCATAGTGGTCAAGCTCATAATTGCCGGAGTCAGACAACCTTGATTCTAGACAAATTACCTAACCCGTATTGAGATTCAGTTTCTTAACCTTTGAAAAGGAGGACAGATGGGGTGGAGGATAAGGTGCTGGATCTCACATGGCTGACTTTGTGATGCGAGTCCCAGACTCAGTGACTTGAAAATCATACTGAGCGTATGTGTGTGTGTGATCAAAACCCCAAGAGGAGAATGGAGAAGAAAGGATTTTAGTGTGCCCACCATCCCCCCACCCTGGGGGGTGATTAAAAAAAAAAAAAAAAAGAGCAGGATTCTCATGTCAGCTACCATGGTCTATAAGGTAGTATGCAAGCCTGAAGATGAAAGTGAAGAAGGCACTGACCTGAGAGCGTCTGGGACCTCACGGACCCCAAGGTAGCCAGACCATACTTTGAGAACTGTGCTTAGATGTACTGTCTTTTTTCTTTTTAAAGTTTTTTTTGCTATAGGGTGCGTGCGCTTGCCAGACAGAGAGAGACATAGAGACAGAAAGCGAGAAATCACCCCCCGGAGGGGGGTCGCTAAGCCACAATCCCTTCTCCATTCTCCTCTCGGGCTCTTGGGCACGTATGCACACGCGCCTGGTGTGAGTTTAAGCCACCGGGTCCGGGACTCGAACCGCAGTCAACTACATGGGAGTCCGGTGACATAGCCATTATGCTAACTGCTGGTCCCAAGATTTACTGTCTTCAGAATTGGTCACCTCAGTCTTGAGAGGAGACTGCGAGGTTATGAGGACCAGCAACCGTGCAGCCTGGCTCAGGTGAAAAGGAAGAGACCTTTTGGGATCCCTAAGCAGAGCACACTAACCTAACTGTCCTGAGGTCCTCTCAGAGGACCTGCTCATCTCTCGTCTCAGGGCGTGGCTTATCCCGGTTGGCCTGACTCTAGCTTAGCACTGAGCCTGGAGGCTTGACCTGGAGCCCAGGACAACTCTCCAGCAGAAGGTGTACCAGTTCCTGAGCAGGGGCTCCCCTGGCCAGGGGTTCTGATGGGCTCCTAGTTCTGGACACAGGACAGAGTGCTCAGAGGCCCTTGTGGCTGCGTAGGCCCTGCAGGGCTCCCAGAAAGACAGATTAGCTGCAGACCCTGACATCTGTCACAGTTCTGCCCCAGTGGCCAGGCCCGCCTTCCCTCTGCCCTTTTCTCACTGCAGATGCAGGCAGGTGGCCCTCAGCCGTACTGGGGCACTGTGAGCTCTGCCCCACACCAGCTCCCAGTCTCCCTTTCCCTCCTGACTCCTTCCTGCCCTGGCCCAGTCTTCTGTGCTCAGCACACCAGTGCCCAGGCACCCTTTGATGTTGAGGTTTTCAGTCTCACGAGTCCTGTGCAGGAGGGTCTTTGTGTGGGTGGGTGACAGAGGTGAAGAGGACAGACTTCTGCCTTCAAGGCTTAGCCAGTGGTGAGAGGAGCCTAGACCAGACGAGGATAAGGCCGTACTGGAACGGCGAGTGGTTTCGGGCACTCAGGGTACAGCATCTCACACATCAAGGGGCAGGGCACACCCCAAAAGAAGCCCCCCTTCGGTCTAAACCCAACTTCTCAGCCAATGGAGGAGCTGGGCAAACAGTGAGGAGGGCGATGCCAGGCCCCACAGCTGCTACCTGGAATGCAGCCCGGGAGAGGGAGCAGGGCTGCCTTCTCAGCAGCCTGCTGGGAGCCCACCCAGCCACACAGAAGTTTTGGGTCTGGGCTCCTGCTGCCTCAGCTGAGCCATAGCCTGTCTTTTGAACCTTTTAGAGTCTGTGTCTACTGGCTACCTACTCCCTGGGGATGTAGGGCTAGTCCAGCTGGTAACGGGTGGGGCCCAGGCTCTGGGACAGGATGGAGGGCCTTTCGGAAGCTATGAAGATGTGAGGAGGCTAGGGAGCAGTGTGTGGCCGAGATCCTCTGGCCTGGGGCAGTGAAGGAGGTGGAGGGCCAGCCAGGCAGGCCCTGTGACTGCTCCAGATGAGAGGAGGCCATAGGTGGGAAGCAGGGAGGTCCAGCCATGGTCTGAGCAAGAGCCAATGACACTGGGCCGGTGACTGTGAGGATGAGGAATGCAAGGAAGAATCGGATCCCCCTCAGCTGTAAGTGGGGTTGGGGAGGAGGGAGCTGAGAAGCCTGGGACTCGGGGACTGGAGGTAAGTGAGATAGCAGTGTCAGCAGGACCTAGGAAGGCAGTGCCTGGGATCAGAGGGCCCTGGGAGGGCGAGTGACTGACTGCTGGAGCAGCGGGAGGTAGGTGGATGTTGGGACCACCTCCTGGGGCAGGCCAGCAGGTGCTCTGTCTTCCTCCACAGCTGGTGTACCCAAGCCACTTCCAGCTCACAGACAAAGAGGTAGGTCCTGCCCCTCTTGGGAACTGACGGCACCCAGGAGCAAGTGAGCCTCACTAGGCTTTGCGTATTTCAGAAAAGCAGCATCTGCTACCTGTCCTTCCCCGACTCCCACTCAGGTAGGAAGTGCTGCCACTTCCCAGGGTGGATGTGGGCTCTTGGGCTGGGTGGGTGATAAGAAGGCAGGGAGACAGGACAGCTAGGAGCCCCTGCTGCCCAAGCCAGGGCATCACAGGGTGGGAGACCAGTGTCCCATGTTATAGCTAGGCAGCTGGACTTCAGAGCCACATAGAAGCAGGAGTCTTGGAAAGAGGGACCAGTGGAATCTTCTCCCAGCACAGTGGCCATGGGAAATGAGCCCAGCCCTGCTCCTAGGGCTGGGGCACAGGATTCTGGGTGGCCATCGACTGGTGAGCAGGCCGAGCTCATTTCCCACAGGGAAGCCAGAAGCGCTTCTCCCTGTGCTGAGTTTGCGCTGAGGCCTTTAAGTGGAGGTGTGGAGGAATCAGGATGGGGGGCCATCAGAGACAGATGTCTTGGTAGGATTTCTTTGGGGCCCCCAGACCTGCCTGGTACTGGCAAGAAAGGCTGAGGTATAGTGGGGCTGCTGTTCCCAGGCTGCCTTGGGGACACACAGTTCACCTTCCGCATGCGCCAGTGTGGGGGGCAGAGGAGCCCCTGGGACGCCGACGACAGGCGCTACAACAACATGGTCCCCGTGGCGCTGCAGGTGAGTGGTCTCTGCCCCTCTGCTCTTCCACGCTTCTGGACCCTGCCAGGGTCGGGCTAGTGCTGGTAGCACCTGGGCTCTGTGTGGCAAGAGAGACACTGCTAAGTTCATCCAGTGGGGCCAACAGCTGCTGGGACCTCCGCCAGTCATGAGGCCCACTGCTCTGGGATCTCACCAGAGTCTCTGGAGCTGTTCCTAGGCCCCTAGACATGCATGGTATAGCAGGGTGCAGTCTGACCAGCCAGGGCCTGCCAGGCCCCGGGCCCCGGGCCCTGGGCTCTGAGCCCCGAGCCTCCCCCCCACCAGATGTCTCCAGGCCCTGAGCCCCTCCTTGAGTGTCTCCAAGCCCCAAGCCCCTCCCCGAGTGTCTCGGGCCCTCATGTGTCAGCAGATGCCCCTGAGCAGTCACTGTCTTCAGTGCCGAGGGCTCAGGCTTGCCTGGGAGGCCTCTGTCTTGGTGGTCAAAGGGCAGACCCCAGCCGTGGGGGCAGCAGATCTCAAGGGCTCCTGGCTCCCTAGGACAGCAGCCCCTGTCCTGTCTCTTGTCACCCCCAGCCCTTGGCTTAGCAGGACGGCTAGGGCCGGGGTGAAGATGGGGCACGGCCTGGCTGACACCACGACCTTGCAGAGGGAGGCAGGGTGGCTCGGGCAGGGAAAGGGCGGGGCATGGCTGGCCGACACCACGTCCTTGCAGAGGGAGCTCGCACACTACTTTGGCTATGTGTACTTCAGGCAGGTCAAGGACAGCTCTGTGAAGAGGGGCTACTTCCAGAAGGTGAGACCTGGGCCCACGGTTGCGCCCCAAGAGGTGTAGGCCGGTAGGCCACAAGAGGGCTATGGGAGCTTGTGGCCCTGGGTCTGCAGAGGTGCCCACCTCTCCTGTGGCCTCCTGGCCACATGCCCAACTCTCCTTGCCTGGCATGGCATCCAAGGCCCTCCTGCGTCTGGTCCGGGGATCCCTTTTCCTCACTGCTGACTGGGGGCTGACTCCTCGGGGTTATGCCAGCTGCAGCCTCTAGCTCAGGCCTGGAGGTAGAAAGCCCCAGCCTCTGGGGATATTGCAGACGTCTTGGGATGGCCCCAGGGTCCAGCCAGCCCTCGCTGTCATCCAAGGCCTCACTCTAGTGTTCCTGGGGTTGGTGGGGTGTGGCCGCCCCAGCCAGTTCTGGCTTCAGGGGTCCCTGAGTATCTGGGGGCATGTGGAGCTTGGGGCCCTCTGACCACCCTGCGGCCCGCAGTCTTTGGTGCTGGTGTCCCGCCTGCCCTTCGTCCGGCTCTTCCAGGCGCTGCTGAGTCTGATTGCCCCCGAGTACTTCGACAAGCTGGCGCCCTGCCTGGAGGCAGGTGAGTGGCTGCTGGGCAGAGCCAGTGCAGCCTCCTCATCCCGGCTGCCGTCCAGCAGCCTCGTCAGGCAGCTCCTCTCCAGGGAAGGCTTGTGACCCTGGCCACCTCTGTCCCACAGTTTGTAATGAGATCGACCAGTGGCCGGCCCCTTTGCCTGGGCAGACCCTGAACTTACCTGTCATGGGAGTTGTTATCCAGGTGAGAGCCAGCAGCTGGGGCGGGTGCCACGGACAGATGAAGACAGCCAGCCCACCCTGACAGCTGCTCCCTCCCTTTTGCCTGCCAGGTGCGAGTTCCATCCAGGGCAGAGAATCGGCTGGCGCCCTGCCGGGAGGCAGGTGAGTGGCGGCTGGGCAGAGCCAGTGCAGCCTCCTCATCCCGGCTGCCGTCCAGCAGCCTCGTCAGGCAGCTCCTCTCCAGGGAAGGCTTGTGAACCAGGCCACCTCTGTCCCACAGTTTGTAATGAGATCGACCAGTGGCCGGCCCCTTTGCCTGGGCAGACCCTGAACTTACCTGTCATGGGAGTTGTTATCCAGGTGAGAGCCAGCAGCTGGGGCGGGTGCCACGGACAGATGAAGACAGCCAGCCCACCCTGACAGCTGCTCCCTCCCTTTTGCCTGCCAGGTGCGAGTTCCATCCAGGGCAGAGAATCCTGAATCCAGCCCTCTGCGGCAGTGTGACCAGGAGGTGGGGGCCACGGCTGAGTCAGGCTTGTCCAGACCTAGTATTTCTGGGCCAGGTGGTACCACACATACTTGCCCGCCCACCCTGTGGGGTGGTGAAATGCAGGCCAAGCCCCAGGTTGTTACTCAGGGCTCATGGAAGGGGTGGGACTTGGGAGAGGTGAGCCAGGTAGGGGCTGTGGAGGCCCCTCTGGTGTGAGGTGCTGCGGGGGCCCTTAGCCCTCCCTCTTCTCAGAACCTGCTGCCAGCCCCGGTTGTCCTCGCCAGCGTCCATGACCTGGACCTGTTCAGGTGAGCCCTGCAGGGCTGCATGCCACTTCAGAGAAGCCCAGCAGCAGTGCAGGGGGAATGCTGAGGGGTTCAGCTCATCCTGACTCTTGGGACCATGGTTCTGCAAGGACAAGTCACAGCAGAGGGAACCGTGCTCTGCCTGCTCCAAAGAAGTGGCCCAGTGGGCAGGAAGGTTCTAGAAGGCAGGCAACAGGGAGGGGCTTTGGGATATTCACTGCCTGAGGCTGTCCCTCTGCCTCCCTGGGGAATCTGCTAGGGAGAGTGGCCCTGGACTAGGGCTGCAGGCTTGATGCACAGGCCAGGATTCTGGGTTAGCAGCCCCTGCCCAGGCTTTGGCACTACTACAGGACAGCCAGAGCTGGACTGCAGGAGGGTGGGGTGGCCTTGGTGGCCCAAGACACCCCCACAGCCTGGGGTGTCTGCACCAGCATCTTTGTGCTGGGTGGTGCTCCCCCTTCACTTGAGCCTAGGCCCGGCTGGATACTGCAGAGCTGCCCGGCAAACCTGGAGGGAGGGTGGGAGTCAACCCAGGGCTGGGAGCTGCAGCCCTCCCTGGCTCCAGGTGCTTCCGGCCTGTGCTGACCCACGTGCAGACGCTCTGGGAGCTCATGCTTCTTGGGGAGCCCCTGGTGGTGGTGGCACCCTCACCTGACGTTTCCTCGGATATGGTGCTGGCCCTGACCAGGTACCTGCCTCGCCCTGCTGGGCCCTTCTGGCTGTGCTGGGCTGCCCCCACCTCACCTGCCTCCAACCCCCCCCAACTGCAGCTGCCTGCAGCCCCTCAAGTTCTGCTGCGACTTCCGTCCCTACTTTACCATACATGACAGTGAGTTCAAGGAGTTCACGACGCGCACTCAGGCTCCGTAAGTACACCTCTGGCCACCGCGTCGTGCTGCCTCCCTGGGCCTGTCCACCTCGTCTCCCTCCCTCCCTCTCTTTCTCTCTCTCTCTAGACCAAACGTGGTCCTGGGAGTCACAAACCCTTTCTTTATCAAAACACTCCAGCACTGGCCACATGTCCTCCGGGTTGGGGAGCCCAGGCTGTCAGGTGAGGAGCCTGGGGGCTGGGGAGGCACTGAGCCAACGGTTGCGGCCAGAGCTTTGGTCGTTGAGGCCTAGGCAATGGCCATGTCTCCTAGGCGACCTTCCTAAGCAGGTCAAACTGAAAAAGCCCTCCAGACTGAAGACCCTGGACACTAAACCAGGTCTGCGCCCCCAAACTGTGTCTCACAGCTGGCAGGTTCCCCCGTGAGGACAAGAAGAGCATGGGTCCCCTCCTAGAACTTGGGTTGCAGAACTCGGGTCCTCACGGGCTGGAGGACATTCTCTGGGTTGGGGACTGGGGATCTTGCCCATTGGTGGGCTGCAGGAATGTGGGGGAGGGAGGGAGGCCCCAGAAGGACAGGGCAGCAGCTCTGCCCTCCTCTAGGCCTCTATACAGCATACACGGCCCACCTCCACCGGGACAAGGCACTACTCAAACGGCTACTCAAGGTAGAGGCCGGTGGGGCTGGGCTGGTGGCGGGTACTGTGTGGTGTAGAGGTCTCACAGCCTTGCCCTGCCCACTGCAGGGCCTGCAGAAGAGGCGGCCTGCAGATGCCCAGAGCGCCCTGTTGCGGCGGCACCTCCTGGAGCTGACGCAGAGCTTCATTATCCCCCTGGTGAGGCCTGGACTAGGGAGGGAGCAGCAGGGGCTGGGTCCTTGCTTACTGCCCCCGCCCCTGTTCCCAGGAGCACTACGTGGCTGGCCTCATGCCCTTGCAGAAGAACATCACACCCTGGAAGGTGGGGCTCTTGGGGCCTGGGCAGTGGATTCCCTTCACATCCCAGAAGAGGGCAGGCCTGGGGACAGGCATCCTTGTGGACCATGGGGGGAGGCTTTAGAGAAATGAGCCACGCGGTGGGAGCCCGTGGAGGGGCCTGGGCGTGTCACAGGCAGTGACAGCCTTATCCAGCCCTAGGAGGAGGGTCCTGCCTGTGGTGCAGGGTGGGGACACTGTGCTCACTCTCGTCACAGAACCCCCCCCAGGTGCGCCCCTTCTGCCAGGAAGACTTCCTGCGTAGCCTGGAGCACACAGGCCCCCAGCTCACCTGCTTCCTAAAGGGCGACTGGCCGGGCCTCTACAGGTGAGTCCTGGAGTAGGCTGGGTTCCTGTCCTTGACCCCTGGCCAGCTCCACAGCTGCCACTGCTCGCCCCCATAGGCGGTTTTTCAAGTCTCCTCATTTCGACGGCTGGTACCGGCAGCGGCACAAGGAGATGGCCCAGAAGCTGGAGGCCCTACACCTCCAGGCTATCTGTGAGGCGGTGAGGAGCTGGCCAGGGCCGGGGTGGGCCCAGGGCAGGGGGTGGCCTTCGTGACAGAGACCCACTCTTCTCCATAGAACATCGAGACCTGGATGAAGGACAAGTCTGAGGTGGAGGTCGTGGACCTGGTCCTGAAGCTGCGGGAAAAGCTGGTGAGATGCTGCCCTGCCTGCGTGGCCCCTGCCACCTGCAAGAAGGGGCCAGCCCTGACCCCGTGGCCCTTGCAGGTACGGGTGCAGGGCCACCAGCTCCCTGTTAAGGAGGTGACGCTGCAGCAGGCACAGCTGCACATCCAGACAGCCGTCGGCTCCCTGCCCAAGGACCTGCAGGCTGTCCTGTGCCCTCCCAAGGGCCCAGGGGCCTGGGTCTGACTGGGCCATCTGCTCCCAGCGGGCGGCCTTGGCCACGCACAAGCTCCCCAGCCTCAGCCCCTACCCCACCACATCCCGTCCCGCAGTAAAGGTGACATTTGGAACTGCAGCCTGGTGCCTGACTGTTGGGAGTCTGTTCTGGCAGGGCCTTGCTTCACCCAGGCCCCACCACCCTCCCTGCTGCCCCTACCTGGCCCCCTGCAGCCCTAGCCTTGTATCCAATGTGTCCTTTATGCCTAACCCTAGCAGACTCCCAGATGGACTGAGGGAGGCTAGCGGCCGCCTAGCTGTCCACTCGTTGCTTAGGGGTAGGAGGTGGCCGCCCACAGTCTGTCACTTTGACAGGGAGAGGCAGTGTGAGGAGCCCACCTGGGGTTGTGGTTCGTTAGGGATTGGGGTGGTGGGTCCAGTGCCCTGCTGGGAGGGAAGGGTCAGCCTAGCCCTCAGCCCTAGGAGGTCTGTAGGGTGTCTTGAACCCAAGCCTGAAATAGCCCACCAGCTCCAACTCCCTGCATCCCACCCCAGGCAGTCATCCTGCTGAATGAACTCTGTGCCTTCTGCAGCCTTGCGGCTGGCTCCATCTCTTGCGCAGCGC